CCTCCACCACCCAGCCAGCCTGGGAACTGGGCAGGGGGCCAGAGCCAGTCGCTTGGTATTCTTGGGCATGGGGGCTGCAGGCACAGCACAAAGGGTAGGAGAGAGCTGAGTGGGGGCCTGGTAACCATCAGGGGAGAAAATGGGCTCCACAAAGGTGGGGGTGGTCCTTGCTTCCCCCACCTCGAGCCCTAATGACTGAATACAAGGCTAGCATGGAGAGGCCAAGGAACCACTGGACCAAGCAACTAGGCATCCATCCAAAATGAGTCATTAGTGGAGTGGCGGGGAGTTGAAGTGAGGGACCCCTTTGCCTCTAAGGCAGAATGGGGAAGCTAGAACACACAACCTCCTACCAAACCCTCCAGCTCCTTCTCAGCTTCTCATTGCCACAGCAAGCCTCGCCCTGGTTGTTTTGGAGTTTTTTTTCCCTGACATGGGGAGGGGTTGGAAGTGGGTGGGGCGATTCTGGGGGGGGGACTTGGAGAGAGCGGGTGAGAAAGTCGGGAGCAGGTTGCTATGGTAACCGCCTCCTCAGTCAAGGGAACTGTTGCCAGGGTTACTGTTAGAGGGGGAAAACAGAAGAAAAAGATGGTGGGGGGAAGGAGGTATGACTTGTCACTCTAGGCTCCTGCCTGGCTCCTAGCATCCTGTCTACCCTGACCGCCTCCCCTAGGTCTTCCTTTTCTCCCTCAGCCCTAGCCACCTCCAGCCTCCATGTTCCAGGCACATGCCTGGTACGGCAGAGTGGGGAGTAGGAGGGTAGTGCCGGGGAGTAAACCAGACTCCGTACCTTAAGCTCAACTCCTATTCCTTTGTTGCCTCCCAACCCCAGTCATGGCTGAGTACGGGACCCTCCTGCAAGACCTGACCAATAACATCACCCTTGAAGATCTAGAACAGCTCAAGTCGGCCTGCAAGGAAGACATCCCCAGCGAAAAGAGTGAGGAGATCACTACTGGCAGTGCCTGGTTTAGCTTCCTGGAGAGCCACAACAAGCTGGACAAAGGTGGGGGAGGGGAGCACAGGGGTCCTGTCATCAGTCTTTCAGGCTCAGTTCATTCAGCAAACAGAGATGAGCTCAAAGCTCTTACATCCACAATGTGTACCCCTCTATAGCAAGGCAGAAGAAAGGTGCTCTAAGAGTATGGGGGCCTTAGACATTTTTCATTGTGCCCCTCATCAGTAAAAAACGTTATTCAGATACTCCTGTGCTATTATCACATACACAACAGAACGTAAAAACAATCTAACAGTAGTAAAATTTTAAGTGACAAAAATTGGGAATAATTTTAGACAATAAAAATAGAAGAATACTTGAATGAGGGGAGAACTCGAAGTGTAATCTCATCTGGTAAATAGTAATACTAATCTTTGTTAAGCACTTTTTAAAAACTGGTAAAATTTAAAACTACAAGTTCTAACACTTTCTTATCCACTTTGAGAGACTACTGCTTGGGGAGTGGGGTCTATGGATTAGACTAATCCCACACAGCTGGAGGCTTTAGGGAAGACTTGGTGTTTAAGATGGCCCTGAAAGGTGAGTGGGATTTCTAAGGCAAGATCCAAAGGAGGGCATGTCAGGCAGAGGAACACTGTCACAGAGTATCTAGTGTGTTTGGAAATGCAAGCAGTCCTGCTTGGCTTGACTAGGATGCAGGGTGTTTAGAAATGGCTGGGAAGGTAAGGGTAAGACTGTGTTGTAGAGAGCCTGGGTATTGGATAGGTGAGGTGAGTGAACTCAGAGCCCTTCAGATACACTATTCTGACTGCTGTGTGGCTGGCAGGGAGAAAGTATAAAGGAGGACATGTTACAGTTAGACTATGGCAACAGTCAGAGGGGAGGAGCCAGGGAAGAAGGTCTAAGGGCATCTATAATCTCCTGAAATTGGCCAAGCCATGGACATCATCCTTCTGGTGGTGTCCATACCTTCTCTCATTTAGAATAACCTTTCTCACCAGGCCCAGATTCTCTCCTGGGTTGCCTAGAGACTCCACTCTGTTGGTCCTACAAGTGCTGTCAGCAAATTCTTATACTTACTTGGATGGAAAGTGGAAAAGGATGGGGGTGGGGATGGGGTATCTGGAAGTCAAGTTTTTCTTTTGTCCCCTCCCCACAACATATGGGAGCTAGTATCCAAGCTAAACCCCTCATTCTAACCACAGTCTAGAAACTTCACTGACCAATTATCTGTCCCTCCTGCAAACAGTCCCCTGTATTGTTGTTTGGGTGCCTTAGCTTTCTTTTACTGGATTAGTAGCCCCTCTTCTTCCAGTGTTGTACCCTCCCATAACCAATGTCAGCAACTCAGCTTTGGTTCCAGGTCCCTAGTCTGGTGGAGTAGGGGAAGCTGACCTCTATAGCCTAGCTCTGACCCTATCTCCTGCCTTCCTCCAGACAACCTCTCCTACATTGAGCACATCTTTGAGATCTCCCGCCGTCCTGACCTCCTCACTATGGTGGTTGACTATAGAACCCGTGTGCTGAAGATCTCTGAGGAGGATGAGCTGGACACCAAGCTAACCCGTATCCCCAGTGCCAAGAAGTACAAAGGTAAGAGGCCACTCCTTTAACTAGCTGCACCTCTGCCTCATCCCGTTGACTATCCTTGGAGTACTTGAGTTTTGGGAGAGTGGAGGCAGATGCCCAATGGGCCTGCCTGGCATCTCCCATACTGCTGTCCCTGGACACATCCCTTTTTGTCCCCAGACATTATCCGGCAGCCCTCTGAGGAAGAGATCATCAAATTGGCTCCCCCACCGAAGAAGGCCTGAGCAAGGGGGAGGAAGAGGAGGAAGGTTGGACCTTCATCAGACCACTCCCTTCCCCCATCCTCCAGGGGAGGGGGCAAGGGCAACCCACCATCTACCCACTTACTAACCTGGTCCTAACCCCCTTACTGTGCGCGTGTGTGTGCGTGTGCGCACGCTCTGGCTGTCTGTCTATATGTCTAGCTCATCTAGTTCCTCTTCTTAAGGGGATGGGGGTCAGGGGCTAGGGGAGGGGGCTGAGTTTCCCCACTTTAGGAGGAGGTGGGGGCTATTTCTATGCAAATAGAAATCAGCACATTCCTCCTACTTCCCTTTCCTCCACTCTCCCCCCATATCTTTAAAGTGTGGAAGCAGAAAGGACCTGCATTTTCCTACATTGAGGAGCTGACATGGGGGTAAGGTATGGGAGAGGTAGGTGGATCCAGGGAAAAGCAGTGGGGAGGGAAGGCAAAGAGGCCACTCAACCCCCACCTGGAAGGGGCAAAGAAAAGCCAGAGTTCCCTGTTTGTACTCCTGTGCTGGACTAGCTGTTTCCTGAGTACCAGCAGGTCCCTTTTTTGTCTCTCATGGGCCTAGCATAGGTATGAGCCAGGGATCCTTTCCTGGCCCCTAAGATCAAACCCCATGGAGCAGCCAGCATTAGATGCCCCCACCCACCTGTACTCTGGAGAGACTGTGCTGGGAACATGTACCACTGAGCCTGAGATGGGGATGAGGGCAGAGAGAGGGGAGCCCCTTTTCCACTCAGTTGTTCCTACTCAGACTGTTGTACTCTAAACCTAGGGAGGTTGAGGAATGAGATCCTTAGGTTTTAACCTGCATCCTGACCCCACCATCTATAGGGTCCCAACTTGGTTATTACAGGCAACCTTCCCTCTCCCCTTGGTGAAGAACATCCCAAGCCAGAAAGAAGAGAAGTTAACTACAGTGTTTTCCTTTGCACTGATCCCCACCCCAATTCAATACAGGAAGGGACTTAGGAAACCCTTCTTTACTAGATATCCTGGCCCCTTGGGCTTGTGAACACCTCCTAGCCACATCACTACAGTACAGTGAGTGACCCCAGCCTCCTGCCTACCCCAAGATGCCCCTCCCCACCCTGACCGTGCTAACTGTGTGTACATATATATTCTACATATATGTATATTAAAACTGCACTGCCATGTCTGCCCTTTTTTGTGGTGTCTAGCATTAACTTATTGTCTAGGCCAGAGCGGGGGCGGGAGGGGAATGCCACAGTGAAGGGAGTGGCAGAATCAAATTGCTACATAGTCCGAACAAAAAAGAAAGCTTTTTCAAAAAACATTTAATTCACATGCAGTCTCAGAGACTATTTAGACAAAGTTGAAGTTAGGAGCTTTCAGGATGTGAGAGTAAAACTTTAATGGGAGGGGAGGGCTGGCTGCTGGAAGAAGGAAGAAGCCAGACTGGTTAGACAGTATTCTTAACTCCTAGCCCAGCCTAGCGTGTCCTGCCCCTCTGGCCACTGCTGCAGACACCTGCCTTAACACACACACCTCTAGGACTCCACAGTTTTGCCTTAAAGGACCTTCCCAAGTCTCCCTTTCCCTGTCTGGCTTCTCCCTTAAGAAGAGAGAGATACTTGTAGAATTGGGTGGGAGGAATGAGCATAAACTGTCCTTCCATTTGGGTATGTTACATTAGAAAGAGAGAGAATAAGGAGCCTTTCTTATGGAAGAAATGGGAGAAGAGAGACAGGGTTATTTTCAGCAGAGTCTAGTAGTTTCTCTGTAAGGCAAAATAATCTAAAAAGACTAACCTGCCCACCCACTCCTTATATTGCTGTGAGATTGCCCCTATCTTGTGCTCTTCTGTCTGCAGTGTGCACGGCCTTGTTCTAACCTGGAATAAAGGTGATTGATTGTATTGTAACTAACTGATTTTAAAATTTCTGTGAGTGACGAGGATTTTGGAGCCTTTGAATCACTGGGAAGGGAAGGGGAACAATATTTATGCCCCAGAACAAGGGCTGGGAAAATACCCCGAGTGTATACCCTCACCCCACCCAATCTCCTAAGTATCACTGAGCTAAATGGAGCGTATCCTACTTCCAACAGTCTCCAATTGGAGCCCAAGCACTGGAAATACGGGTCTCCCAGAATGGACTTTCTAACACTGTATCATGTGCAGAATGAGAGGGGTAGCTACATTAGTAGGAGCAAAAACCATCCATTGTGAATAAATGGACCACATACCACACAGAGCAGCAGTCAGGGGGAAGAAAAGCTTTACTGGGAGAAAATACAACAAATTCCAGAGTGCATGGTTTTTAGCCCACCCTATCACCCCACCAGCAATAGGAACACAGACCACTCAATCACACATTCCCTACCTCGGAATAAGTACAGCAGCCAACATCTGGTCTGAGAGCTGCTGGGAAAAGGGGCAGGAGGAAGAAGTGTCTGGGAATACCATTCTCTCACTCTTTTCCCCTCCTTCCTGGCCTGATTTAGTAGAATCTGACTGTCCCAGGATACAGAATTCTTGATTGGATCTTGTGGAAACTGGGGGCAAAAAAATAGCAGCAAAAGCACTTAAAGGCAAGAATTCAGCTGGGACTTTCAGACTCAGTGACCAGTGATAAGACAAGAGCCCAAGCTCCAGCCACTGTAATCAGTCCTTAGATTAATGACTTGTTCCTCAATCCTAAAATATCAAGAGGTGGACAAGGTTTAAGTCAAACCCAGGAAGTCTTTCCCTTCACTCTTCTATGAAGAAGGGAACTGGCATCAAGTTGGATGGTTTAAAGATCAAGCAGCTAAAGGTAAGAGAGACAGAGAGAGAGTGTGTGTATGTGTATGTGTGTGGTGTGTGTGTACGTGTCTTCTGTCACACAAAGTACAATAGTCTGCAGTGGTGGCACCACCCTAAAGTATTTTAAGTTTTAAAGACAGGCCAGCCTCTGGTTAGAAGAGCCATCCTTGGAACCCCCTACAAGACTTAAGGAGAGGTAGGAGATCTGAGGCAAAGAGCTGAGAGGAATTTCCTGGTTTTCCCAACCCCCACACCAAAGCAGGGAACGAGGAAGGGTAGAAATGAGGATCTTTCCATTCTCGAACCTCCAAAAACCTAAAGGGTAAGTCCCAATCTCTAGTGACCATACATAGAGGTAAACTGACCCCAGGTGTCACCTCCACACCATTACTCTTGTTCACTCTTAAGTCCCTTTATTGCATTCATAGAGAATATATAGGTATTTAAACTTTGACAATAATTTTACCTTGATACATCCAAGTTTGACTTGCTTTTTAATATATTTATAGATATAAAATTAGGCCTCTAACAGTGATAGGGACAGGGAGATTGCTGCCACCAAACAATGTTTTTTAAAAAAATAACAGAAGAGGTAACATCCTTCCTATTCTTCCTTCACGTCTGCCCCTCTCCCACCTCTCCCCAACCTCCCTCACCTGACGTATTAGGGGGTGATGGGATGAAGAGAAGAGAGTGAAGGATATGTAATCAAGTGCAAAACACTGTGATAAGTACAAAGAATGAATAAGGTGGATAGGAAAGTGAAGAGTGTGGGATGGTTAGGGGCTTTAAGGACTTCCCAGGAAAATAGGATTCTGGGATGGGGTTGCTGAGGGGGGGAAAAACCAACTGTCATATACTTTTAAAAAACAAAGGAAGAAAAGGTCAAAAACCTAAACCAAAGAGAGAGTGGCACTCTTGCCCTCCACTCTGGCCCCTTGGTACTGAATAGCCAGTTGTTCTACCCACCCCCCCTGCCCAACAAACAAGGGAGCTTAAAGAAAAAGAAACCCCATTCCCTATCCCAAACCAGTTAACAAAATAGGCTTCCCTCTCCTCTCAAAAAGAGGCTTTGGGGAGAGGCCATTTCTACTGAGTCCTATGCACCTCTCCATGGAGCCCCATTCCAGGGGTCAACTCCCATTCCTAGGTACTCTGTTGGTTCACTCCTCTGGTTTGTCCTTCTCCTGGGATGTCTTTCTTTTATCTAAAGCAAAAAGTCCAAAGTGCGTTTCTGCTGAATGTAGGACCTGGGACAGGAAAGGGTTGCCCAGGCAGGATCAGATTGGCAGCCCCAGCCTGCCCCACCTAGGTATGAGGCCTCAAGATGGCATGCACTGCACCCGGTCAGGGCCCTCCTCCTCGTCCGATGTGTCTGAGGAGCTGGGAGACTCATCAGAGTCCGCGTCTGTGGCCCCAACCCCAGGTTCTCGCCAGCGCTGTGGATGGGAAAGGCTTGTTAGTAACTTCCCTGGATGGAACAAGGACAAGCCTGTTAGGTCTTAGCTAGAATATAGATGCTTTAGGCCAGAGATCAGCAGAATTTTTCTTAAAGGGCCAGACAGTAAATATTTTAGACTTGTGGTCTATATGGTCTTTATTGCAACTATTCAACTCATTGTAGCGTGAAGGCAGCCACAGACAATACACAGAATGGGTGTGGCTGCAAGCCAATGAAACTTTATTTACAAAAACCAGCAGCAGGCCAACTGCCAGTCTGCCAACCCCTGAACTAGGCCTCTTTTGGCATAAGAGGAAAAATAGAAGGGTCACACCGAGACTTGTTATTTCTTCTCAATTCCCTCCTCCACCCTCCAGCCTTTGCCTTTATGAAGATAGGATTACACATGGATGGCAATGGACAAGAGTAGATACCACCCTTTTCTGCTGATGTCTCTTCCAAGGCTGTATCAGGGATCTGATGGGGATAGAGGACAATGGATAGGAAATCCAACCAAGATCACCTGATTCCTCCTTAAAGTCACTACTCTGGAACTTTTTAGCCCTCTTAAGAGGGTCACTCCTTGGGAACTCATTTCCAACCCCAGCTTACCCGGTGATGGCGTCTCTGTCTCAAGTGATGCATAAGGAACCACAGCATGTGACTATCAAACAGGTCAGGGTGGTGCAAGCTATCTTCATCCCGCTCCCGCTTGTTCTTCTTAATCACCTGGAACCCAAAAAGGTTGGGAAGAGGGGGCAGCAATGAAGAGGAACCTGGGACCTGATCAAGAAGGCTGATTTTCCACCCCAATAAAAGCTAACCGTTAAGTTGAAGTGGAGCTACATTAGATTAGGAAACGATGCCCTAGGTTCAGCTGCTGCAAAGGTAGCAGGCTTTAATATAGAATAATTCTTAAAGATGCTCCTTATCCCCATCCTATTACAAATTAGTGCTCCTTCACAGCTGCCCCCTGGAGCAGGACTATTCCCACAGAGGAAATTACAGGAATGTTGGGGAGGGTGTTAGAGCAGTGCCTTTAAAGAACTGGGCAGCAAGTTATTCCTCCCTATGACAATTAAGAATCAACAGTATGTGGATAAGCAGAAAGAAAATAACTTCTGCAGTCAGCCACTTACATCTTTTAACCCTGTCAGCTCAGTGGAAGCTTCAGCTGTGGGTGCCCAGATCTTCACATCATGGTCTAGGCCACTGGTTGCCAGCACAGGTAGGTGAGGGTGGGGCTCAAGACAGTTTACCTGGTCAGGAAGAAAGGAAAACAGACTCAGTAGTGTGTGGGAGTAGGGTTTAAAAACCACTACTCACCTTGAGCCAAATAATTGCCCTTGATCAGGGCTGATGCAGCTGCTGGGGAAGGGAGGCCCACCCATCCTGAGCCTAAGCCAAAGGGCACTGGGGGTAGAGAAACCAGACACAGACTGGGTATAAGACCAGGCACATCAATCATTTCCTATGTTTAGGTCAGGGGTGGCTTCATCCCCAGATACGGCCCTAGGGATGGGTGAGTGGACTGCCCAAGCTTACTGCTGGCTTCATAAGACAATGAAATCCAGATGACCTCATTCACTCCAGATTCCAAAGCTCCAACTTGCCCAAGGCTGGAAAAAACCATCTCAGTGGCTTTCACCAAATGGCAAATAAATTTTAAAAAATGAAGCAAGCAGCAGCTGCCAATGAACCCCCAGAGAAGAGTCGGAGAACAACTACATTCATTTGGCACTGTTTACTAGAACTGGAGGAAAGCACAGGCTGAGAAGAGGAGGCTGAGTTGCAGGGAGTGGTGGGAGTGATGGAGGCTCATGTCTGCTTGAGAGAACCTTGCACATCCCAGGGGGAGCATCCTACTACCTGCCCTGAGCACAACAGGCTCAGCTATAAAGCAGCACATTAAAATAAAGCAGCTTCTTGGGGCTCCCATAGCCTCAATCTCAGCCACCTTCTGGGTAAATTCACTGAACAAGGCAAAAGAAATAAACTACAGCAGGAAGGCCTTCTAGCTTAGGCAGTTTCCTTCTGTCCGAAAGGCACCCATGCCCCCTGCTGTCTGACTTGGAAACATGAGCTTCCCTAAGGGAAGGGCAGGGAAGTTCCTACCCCATCCAGAAGAGTTAGTTCCAGATCTAGCTGCTAAAGCATTTTGAGTCTTTTAGTTAAAGGAGGAACACATAGGAAAGGCACCCTGCCGTGCAGCTGGCCATATAGTCCAAGAAAATAACTTCTTTTAGTTCTCTCTGGACCAACCACCTCCCCTGCCTCACCTGCACAGGCAGCTGAGGGTAAGTCAAGGGCAGACATGGAAAACAGAGCTGACCTACAGACTTCCCACTTACTTTGACTCCATCTTACAAATAAACAAATGCTCAGAAAAGACTGAAGCTAAGACTGAGCTTATGAATAAAACAGAAACCTTGTTCTTTATCTCCTCCCATTCCACATATCAGCCTATTGTGAAGTTTATCTTTGGGCTGTTTTAGGCAGTGCAGTTCAATGCCTGGAATAATATCTATCTCTAGTAATGGACAACTTACACATACAAACCTGAACTTTTTCATCTATCTCCTAATAAGCCCTTGTTACAGACCTGTACTCTTTGAGCTAGCTCTGCTTGAATAAGTCAGCAAAATAAAAAAGCGCAGGGGAACAATTCCTTGGAACTTAAGACTAAGTAAAAAGCCAGTGGCAAGAGGAACAAGAGAATAACATACAGTACCTGAATTGGAGCCTGCGGGGGGAGCCGACAGAGAACTTCTGGGCCAGAGTACCTGGTCACTTCACCAGACCTGTCTGAATGCCAGGACTTATCCTGTCAATAATGCCTGAGCAGAGAAAAGAGCTCTGGCCTTAGATGACTGGGCTGGGGGAATGTAGAGAATGGGATCAAGCATCAAAGTGCTCTTGGGAGACTAAGGGGCTGTCCTCTGATACCACCCCCCATTCTTGTCCCTGTGAAGCTGAATGGGAACAAAGAAATGATCCTCAAATCAGAGTCAGGAGATCTGGGCAAGTTAGAAAATAACTTCTAAGATCTTTGGTTCTAACATTCTACATTACAATTACATTCTACTCTACATTTACAATTTGCATGATATAGAACTGCTGAGTCTACTACATTGAAACTAGTGCCTGGTGACCCCCACTGCTGGAAAATTAGGACCAAAAACAGAACAGAGGGAGCCAACTAAAAGACCACATCGATCATTCAGCTTACACAGAGACAAGAATATGTAAGGAAATTTGCTTCAGGGGTAGCCTCTATATCTCTTATTCTACTTATTTACTCTTAGGACCACTAAAACTTAGGCCTAGGGCCCACCCATCCCAAGTAAATGCCTTCCTCACCTGGGCAAATGGGTTAATCATCAAACCCTGGCATTGGCTGAGCTAAAAGCAAACTGGCCTGCAGAATGCTTTTGGAGAATGGACAAATGCTGGCCTGGCAGAGGGCATTCAGCCCTGCATCTCTCTGGAACAGAATGCAAGGCAATAGCTTATGTCAAGAAAAAATTCACTGGCCCCTTCTGACTTCCTTTCTCTAAATGCCTATTGCATAATTCCCATTAAGATTCAAGTGTTTTGGGTTTGTTCACTGCAGATGACACAGGGGGACCTATGGAAGAGTAGGAAATGAAGCAGGGAAGAGTGAGACACATCTTGAACTTCTAGATTCCTCTCCATTTGTATTCAAACCGTAAAAACCCTAGATCTATGCAGGTCCCAGGTCCCCAAAATTTAGAGGAAACCAGAAGAAAATCTGAAATACCCTCATACCAGGGCAAGAAAAACATAAGGAATGGGATCCTGATTGCAAGGAACCATTCTAAATTCTAAAACCACTCTCTGAAAAAAACTTCATCAAGAGATGGCTAGGCGCTTTAAAGTTCCCCACAGCTAAGAAGGAATAAAAAGGAAGAGAGACTAAGCTGTCTCAGTCATTCCTTAGAGGTCTTGGGTAACCAGACTATTCTAGGCAATCAGTATAATTTAGTCTTTCAAACTGTCTTTTCATCTCCTGTGGTCCAAAAACCTTGTAACAGAAAGCGATTGAACTCTTTCCTAATTCTAGGTCTCAAAAATGAAAAAAAAAAAAAAAAAAAAAAGATAAGGTTAATGATAAGTTAACCAGATACATCCTTAAGAGCTGATGGCTCTTCATTCCTAACTCGATTCCACTCTTCCTTTTTGACTCACCTCACAGAGGTCTGCAGAACTCAAAGGACAGGCAGACTACTGATGATCGGATCATGGGTTATACAGCAAGCAGACTGCTCAGCTACGAAAAAAATAACATTTGCCTTTCTCTTACAATATACAATTTATATGGTTTGTTACTATTTGCTGAATAAGCATACACAATTCACCCTAAATACTTCAACATGTATATCTTAAGTACAAGAATATTCTCCTACATAAGTAATCAAATCAAATAAATTTAATAATTGAATACCAATGTTAATCTAATGTATAAACCCATCATTCCTATTTCTCCAACTGTCCAAAAACATGCCCTTTATAGTTTTATCTGCCTTATCTAAGATCCAGCCAAGATCACTACTTTAGTTTATTAAGGGAAGAGCATAGAGAAAAATCCTTTAGCCTTGTGGTAGGAGGTGGTGCCCTGAACACTAACACTTTTTTCATTTGGAAAGGGGCATGGCCTAGAGATAAGTTACATCACTACTCAGGACCAGGACAGAAGGTTCTCCTAAGAATCCCTTCTTTGTCTCATAAAGTGCTTGTACCAGGGACAGAAGATAGAACAGGAGAAAATACTCCCACAAAAAGTCAGCCACCCCCAGGCTAACCTAGCCTTTTTATGGTGTTGGACCCCTCTAAAAAAAATGGCATTATGTGTCCAGAATTCAGTGTCCTGGCCTAAAACCTACTAATGACTGGAGAGATTAGGGAGCAGCCGCCTCAAGCCAATACATGACTCACCACGCCTCCCTTGTCCCCTCAGAAAACCTGAATAATTCTGGCAGGTGGAATTTCTCCCCAGAGGAGATTGTGCCACAGTCACCTACCCGCTCACCACAAACTCCACTCTTAGGCCATAGAATGAGCTTTTACTGAAACGATAAATGAGGGAACAAACCACATGAGGGTTGCATCAGGCCTATATATATTCAATCTCAAAGGGAATTTAATTTATTCCCAAACTCTAAACAAGCTGAAGGGGCCAAAGAATTTTTTCATTTTCTCAAAACCACCATCAAGAGAATATGCATGTTAACCAGATAGTTATAAGAAATCCACAAACGTCCCAGAGATGAATTTATTCCTCCCAAAGAGCTCCTCCTTAGGGCCGAGGGAATCTGCCATCCTTTTAGCAGCAAGCCCTCATCTCTAAGTTTATACCCTAAGCAGCCAATCCACCACGGCCTCTCAATCCTTACCTGCCCCATCCTGATTCTCCCAAGCTGTGGCCACTCTTAGCAGTACGGTCCTCTATGGCCTAGGATTATCTTTGAATATGTGGCTTCCTTGGTACTTGTCAATATTTTTGGGGTCATCAGTTAATCCCCTGAGACTGATAAGGCCACAACTGCCTCCAAGAACAAGTCCATCTGTGCTTGCTACCCATTAACAGGGTTCCCCACTCTCAGAATCAGGTAAAAGAAGCCAAGATTCCAATGACTATGTCAGGAAATATGGCCATAGAGACTGGCACCCCTTCCTTTATCTTGCCTGGTGTACTGAATCAGAACAGATTTTTCCCTCCCTTACTTACCAGCTCAGGAAAAACTAAAGGAACTGCCTATCTCCAAGAAAACCAAAATCATGACAGGGTATCCTGTTAGGAGTCG